AAACGTTCACTCTCATATACATACGTGTATCGTGAGCGCCAACATCATAAACGTACTTTTATTAAAACGATATCATATCAGTTAACATAAATTATGACAAATTTAATTTGTTCAGTGACGTGTGTCATAAGTGTAGTGCAATGGAAACTTTTTAAAATTGTTATTTTTTCCTTATATTGAGATCTGTATGATTTTGAAATAAAAAAGTGAATATATTTGCTGTGCAAATTCGTGGATCGTTTTAAATTTTTAATGTGACTTTTGCAACACGTAATCTGCAGCAACAACGCATCTCATGTTTTAAGTTGACCAACATTCTAGTCTAAATTAAAATCTGTATTTTAAACAGTATGTACATTCTCTTTACACTTTTAAGGCGAATAATTATTGTGTCAACGGAATTTTTAATGCAGTGCAGACTGTATGCAGGAATTATGAAATAGAACAGTTAAATTAACTAAGAAATTACTCAGTTAGTGTTAGAATTCGTAATTACTTTCAATATTCATGCTTATAATATTTCGGCTAACTATATTTAAGTGCATGATTCGCAATGACAACAATCTTTGCTATCGCAGAAAAATTGTCTTTACTGGTACTTGTATAGAGTTTAAATTACAATGATTTTTTTCTTATCATTATCGTCTTGATAACTAGAATCTGTTTGGCGAATGTTTATTATTGTCCTTAAACTTAATCTTTTTTGGAAATTTCCTGATAATATGCATTTCGTAAATTAATTTAACATATTGTATATTGTACTTCTATATAGAATTCGTTTAATGCGAAATTGGGCTTAATATTTTTTTTAAATACAAACAGCTGTTTCATAAGAAAGTATTGTGATAGGTCATGACTGAAACTACTTAAATTTATCATCGTCATACGGAATGCTAAATAGATGATTTGCTTAATTTTCTTGAAAAATACACTCCACAGAAACGGCCGGTTCGATCAAGTATATAACAAGAAAATAAAAACATAATATTAAGCAACACTATTGCAATGTAACTTAATGAGGTCTGAGACTTTCGCGAGTATTCATAATATTTATCGGATTATACTAAACGAATTAGTTTGTTAGTTTAATAAGTTTCTGTATCCTTAGAAAAAAAAAATATTGTGCAAATAACAATCGATTATGCGTATAATTTTTATTACTCACAAACCGATGTTTGTATTGTGAGTGACGAGGATTCACTCATGAAAACGTATAAACCATCATTGGAAGATGAAGTCGAAACAAACTATTCATTCCAAGTTCCGTGACCACGCAAATTATTCATCGAAAATCCGTTTGCAGAAATTTCTAGCGTTTTACCAGCAATCGTCCGCATTTCCTAAAACCCCGCAGTACCGGCTCGTATTTCAAAGGCCTCTGTTCGTGCGCACCATAAAATACGAATAATCGGGCTACATAGCCGTATTCCCATTATTGCTATCAGTTAAGATGCTGTGATAATACAATTAGCTCGAAAAAGTTTCACTTTGATTTAAATTGACCTAAATAGATTACGTTCTTTCTGTTGTTTTATTCGTCATTATATATAAATTATAACTTTTCTTTTATACAATATTTTACTTAATTTTTTAAGAATGAAAAATACGAAACCATTCTAGAGAGGGCTGTCTAAATGTATTAAGTTTTAATCTCTAACCCAGTTTAAGCTTAACGGGAATAACGCAATTATATGTCACACATACGCAAGCTATATACATGTGTGCGTGCTGGATGTATGTGTGTGAGTGACGGAAAATCCACAGGAAACAGGCAGGTTATTGATAGCTCGTACATAGTGTGCAGATATTTGAAAATAAATCAATGAACCACTCCCTTCATATACGTTACGTTTGTTTTACACGAATATATTTAGTTCTTGATATATTTAAAGTTTTCGGGAGATTTAATGAAAATATGCTTCGTATTCATTTTTCTGGTATTCAGTTCTTGATTGATGGTAGATGAACCATCTTTATATCTAAGGTATATGTGTTTTTCTTACTAATTGGTTAGCATCCTCGCTACTAGATGTCGCCACGCCAGGTTAGACAGCCTTACTCTTGTCTAGTAGCACCTACTAATGAACGTGGTAAGGATCCTTTTGTTTTGCCTACAATGCATTCTGAGGAGATATCTTACGCCTTAAAGTATAAGTTTCCTAGTTCCTAATAGGTTGAATATTTAATTTTTGGTCATTTAAAAGTCATCGTATTAATTCATATAAACAAATCTTCTTAAATATAGAAATTTTATTTTTTTGGAACTCGTTAAAGTACGGAAATAATTAATAATTAATTTGACTCTATATGAATTCAATGTGTCTATTATATCAGGCTACAAATAAATTTAATTATGCTATGCTTTACACAATAAAAACGTTAGAACGATCGGTTTTGAGTGTACGTTGTGAACTCGTACTAAGGATGCAGACGATTTACTCTCTTAACTCATTGTAACAGTTGACATCATCGGCTGTTTTCTCAATTAATTACATTTACACTGTCATAAACGGAGGAGACAATAAAAGTTTTCAATCAACTGCCTTTATCTCTCGCCGACGATACTATTGTAACTCGAAACAAACACAATTTTGATATACATATATGGTTGAATTTAATATATTAAGTGCCGTAGGTGACATTGACGGTAGATTAAGTTGTGTATTCAAAATGAATTTCACTTATATTCGCGTACCTATAACATATGTAAATAGTAGCAATAAAGACAACCATTATAATATTATATCTAATGAGATCTAGGATTTTCGCGAGTACTCATATGAAGCTAATATTCTCGGATTTACTAAGCGTATTTTAAATCCTAAAATATTAGTTTCATTCACAATATTTATTTCATTTAAAAGTATTATGTATATACAATGTATATTATACATATTACAATTTGTAAAACCTCTGAGTAATCCATAATATGGTACACGACAAACATATTTAGTACTAAATATTCATTAATTTAACGAATTGAAGTATAGCGAAAACTCGTAATACAGTACCCCTAACACAAGTTTTCATTGTCACTATATCATTCATAAATCTTTACAATAATAATATTAACTTATATATTTTTTAAAGGAAAACTTAAAGAGAGAGAATAATGTGATAATGCAGTGCAATAAATACTCGTAGTAGGTGCACTGGTTGGAAGCTTCGCCCGCCCAGTCTCCTCATGACGAGCTAGTGCAGAATAATGACGTTACTAGTTATTACTTAACTTTATTAAAATAGAGAAATGACATACTACATTACATACTACATTACTAAAAATATATGACGAAGAGACATCATTTATTACGCAACATGCGTTCTTTCAATTTACAGTATTTATATTTACACCAATTCATAGTTTTTGAGCAAAAAAATATATTACCATACAAACCCTACTATTATTATAAATGCGAAAGTAATTCTGTCTGTCTGTCTGTCTGTTGGTTACGCTTTCAGCCCTAAACAACTGAACTGATTTTAATGAAATTTGGTACAGAGATGGAGTTGACTTTGAGAAAGAACATAGGATAGTTTTTATCCCAGACTTTTAAAAAGTTCTCGTGAAAACGCGATATAACCGAACTCTACGCGGGCGAAGCTGCGGGCGGAGAGCTAGTATACTATAAAAGAGAATTTTATTAACTACCAGTATAAAATCTGTTTAATATTTAAAAAAATATACTCTTATTTTGATACATAAAGTTAACAAAAAGATATTCTTATAAATACTTTAATTTTGTTCTCAAAAATTGATCTTCTATCACAAATACTAATATTACTGAAAAATATAGATATAATGTAAACAAACAATTATTGCTCTCTAACGGGGTTTCTTAAATTATACGATGCATAATATTATTGATATGTTAATTGATTATAATTATATGAATGCTTAAATTAACGATGTCATAAAGAGATCTTAAAAATATACATCGTAAGATATTTTAATGTTATTATGAATATTAACATTTTCTTCAAAATTTTAATTATAAAAAAGAGTAGGTTCTATAGTTTAAATAATTAGAGGCTTTCGACTATGAAGCTCCAACATTATTTTATCTTTAATAGCTGTTGGTCCTACAATCTTAATATCCAATTTTGTATCCGATCCGATCTATAAAAGACTTCAGAGTATTTATTTTTATCTAGGGGCTAACTTCGTTTATATGAACTTTCGTATATAGATCGAATCGTAAATATGTACTTTAATAACTATAGTTACTATACGATATCAACGTGGCGCGTACATGTGTGGTCATCATTAAATATTAACTATTCATTCATTTGAAACATTTCCATTGTCATCGAGAATCAAATTTATATTTATTTTCGCTCTTCTATAGCATATTTTATTGATACATAAAATATAAATATGTATTTAAAGTTTGATATTATAAATACAATATTAAGTGATACTAAAAATGATACTAAAACTTGCTATGAACAAGTGTGTTTGTCCGTCATTAGCGATGTAAACATTGTCATTATATTATCGTAGTATTACCCCGGGGTAACGCAGCCCGTGACGTCATAGGGACATTGTATACAAACTCATCGATCGCATTCAGTAACATTTTGAACGCGACCGATGTCATACGTCAAAACGGAACACTTCATACAGACATTTACATATAATTTGTTAGTTTTATGGATTTTTTGTGATTATTTTATATAAAAGTAGTGTAAGTGAATATAAAAATGTTATCCGTACGACCGGTTGAAGATAGGCTCTACAGCTTCAAGAGCCTAAAAGAGAGATTCGAAACGTCAAGGTAAAGTTTATAAGGGGATTTCTATAATAAATTATTATCATTTATATGTATTAAGCTGTAGGTACTCAATATTCAACTATTGTGTATATCTGTTACTGTGTAATATAATACGTAGTATCTATCCGTGACTTCCTCTAAACTAGTACAATATATGATGTTTTGTAACTTAGTTTTTTTATCGTTTCCTAATGTTTAAAGTGATTAATAAAGTATGTCCATCGTCAGGTTCGCTGGTGGAGTACAACGTAGCGCCACACATGCAGACATGCCTAACAGAGGGGGCACCATCGCTGAGAGGTATGTACATATATAATATATATATGTTATATAAAATAATTATATATTAAATATCATGATTGGGTTATAAGCTTAACTTCAAATACACAAATAATGTATCTTTAGAATTTCAATATTACCTAATTTATTTAGTATTTTTCAAAATTAGCTTAATATTAAGAGGAAGATGGCTATCCTTTAATTTTATTTGTAGTTTTCATTAATACGGGCGTAGAAGAAATAATAATAGGTATATGTTGGACTCGTACATAAGAAATCAACCGATTTGTAATATATGTATAACATATAACTTGGAGTAAATATTTATATATTGTTCGCATTAAGTGTACGAGTATATGTTAATGAAACTAAGGTTTTTTTATACTAATCGGTTTTATTATCTTATATATACATGAACCCAACGTTTTGGCTACTTTACAGCAGCCGCAATCATAGGTAAAAGATATGTAATGTATAAAGTATACACGAAAGTATTAGATATAAACGTATGGAAATTATTGAATAGTTTAAAATACTTATAACATAAATATAACATTTATCAAAAACTATACTAAAACACCGAATAGTTTTATTTTTATTTTAAGGTTTACATTTTATACGAATAGAACAACTGAAAGGATATGTGAAGGAAATATATATTGTGGAACTATTATAACTCCAAATGTATAGACTGTGGTAAACAAACAAACAAACAATTAGTATCGTAACCTATATAATATGTTTAATTAATTAATTAGTGTTTTGTACAAATAAAGCTGTTACCGCATGTTAAGGAAATATCCTTTGTTCTTTGAATATTGAACCAAATAAACTTTTATTATCTAGTTACAATAATAATTCTTATTAAAATATTATAGAACAAATTTTTTGTATCAAAAAGAAGATTTTTAAACGAAAATATACGCGAAATACGGAATCATCAAATTGGCAGACACAAGCAGACGAGAATAATTAATTTAAATCTGTATTTCCTTTAGGGCGGACTGCACTTGAGAGGCGATAACAGGGTCGTTGACACTATGGAGTCTATTCGATAGTGACACATCTTAATGTGTTTCTGATAGGCCCCATATGGCATTCTATACATCTCTGAATATTACAAAAACGTTTTATCGCTCCTCATTCTTATTGAATTCTTAGAACGGCTCAAAAAAATCCTTATCATATTTAGCCTTCGTTTTATTAGTGTGATTAACCATTTTTTTATTTTATGACCAAATTCTATGTAGGTAATTCCCTTTCATAATACAGGTGCATTGATAAAAGATTACGTACAATCGACTTTGAGGTCCGGGTTTTCTTTACTGTTTAGTATTTACAGATATAAGCCGCTTTTAACAATTATGTATACATTTGTACCAAATCGCGTCTTTGTTTACAGATTATAGGCTAAATATTTATTGTTCGCTATCATAAAACATAGCTCTTATTTCATGTGCCATAAGATTGAAAGTTCTTTACTGTGTTGTTGCTTAAATAATTGGTCAAATATTGTAGCAATTAGAAGCCAGTGTATGTATTGTAATCTATGTTATCTGTCAATCGTTTTGAGTGTTGATAATAAATATTAGTTGTGTCCAGTGCGTATTATCCTCAATACTGAAAAGTAATAAAATTTACGATTTCTCCTTATAATTGAAGCTGGACTGTGCTTTATGAGCTATTTGCAACATCCTTATACATATTTTAAAGTATTTAAACTCAGTTAAAAACTTAAAGTTATTGGTAAAATGCATAATTCAAAGTATAGGTAAGCGTTGTATATATATATGTACCTAAATAAGTTACAAATTATATTTATTTATTACTTATATAATCCTACAACAGCTGATAAGTTGAATGAGTTATTTATTCAGTTGCAGATTTTATTCGTAATCATGAAACGTGAAATAGTCAAAGTTATCTTCATACAATTTAAGTATTATAAAAAAGATTTCATTTTCTTAATTATTGAATAAAAATAAACATAATTTATCTAATGTGTATAGACATATACTGTAGCTAAGTTTAATATCAGAATAAGCAATACGTATTATATTTAATTCCAATTAAAATAATATATATATGAATATGAATGAATAAATAATTTAAACCTTCACATATATTAGTATTATAACAGTGAGGAGTACAATTATTTATCTCTACATTTGTATTATATCAGTCAACTATTAAATAGATATAAAAAAAGCCGGAAACGTAAATTTTTACTCCGAAACAAAAACATAATTTTACAATGTACATGATTATATTAAATGCTCTTAAAAAGCTTATCTCATCAAATCTATTAAACTGGGGGGGGGGGGGGGGGTATTATATTATTGTTATATTAGTTAAACATTACATTTGAATATATCTCAGTAGATTTCGCTGTTGTATCAAAAGTTGAGATATACCTACTTGATTAATGTTGTTTGTATGCGTTATTTTATTCTGTTATAAGTTTTCGTTAAAATCTATGAAGCATTTTCATAAGCAAGTAATAAAAAACAAAACAAAACAGTCTTGCTGAAGAGATTATTTTTCTATATTACAATATAATTATTAAAGAACTATTTCTCTCCATTACTATAGCGAATAACATACTGAGATTTCATAGTCCGTCATTCCTAAACTTTTATACCATATGCGAAGTTTTATAAATGAAAACTGAAGCACACTTACTTTACGGATAAAAACTTATGATTATCAAATTTATATGGACATAATTTTAGTATTATTACTCGGTTGTATTAATAGTGACGTTATGTTTATAGATTGGCGGCTCTACAGGCAGCTGGGGCGAACGACTGGCGCTCCAGAGTGTGTCGATTGAGCCCCGAGCGAGATGACTCCAAGGCGATAGAACGCGTCAAGAATAAGATTAACGTATGTATTCATATACCACATAATTATATTATAGATTTATATCTTGATAATTCAGATTATTCAATACAAATCACTCGGACTAGTTCCAAATGCTTAGTTTACTCGACGACTTGGATATTAAACGAAATTTATACAATATATAAAAAGATAAACTTTGTTATTTTGATACATGATGTTACTGAAGTTAAATATAAGTATATTTTTATGTAGTATTCTTGTGAAACAAATATTTATGGCTAGAAATTTGAGTTAGAAATTGGAAAGACACGTTTTTTTATTCACTCTTGTATCTTAATGAGTTTAAATAAGCCCGACTTTTAACAATTAAAACCCTTAATAAAACATTCGCATTACATTCACTAATAAATAAAATATTCACAAATGAATGTTTGAATGCTTATTATAAGTTTGCATTCAAACTACATACTACGCGTTTCCCGTTTCTCATTCAATAACATACGTTAATACTATAATATGATAAGACTTATTATTGAAGAAAGTTTAACGTTGCGTATGTAGTATGACGATGGAAACTTATAATAAGGAAACAGAATTGCATACAATACGGTCTATCCATAATAGTCTTCTATAAGACAATGACACGACAATACAGTATATGAATCGAGATATGATTGAAATATTACTAATATATGATAAACATCATTATTTACTTGAAGTTATATAATAATTATTTCCTCCAACTCGGCTTCGCTGACTGAATAAAATATATGAGGATAATATTACGTACGTGTTTATTAATATAATAATTACGTATACGGACATGGCGTGTATCCTGTCATTAAACACGGAAATTCTGTTATGGCTTATTAAATATTACGTATGTCACTAAAGTTAATGGTGAAATTATAAATACATTTGTATATAGATTTTCTTTTTGATTAATTTGTATCGATATAGGTTTATATATGAGAGTGTGTTGCAATATAAAGGTAGTAAAGAAATGAATGTTATATAATATATCTATGTATATTGAACAAAAGGAATTCTGATTTTATTAAGAGATATCACTGAGTGACACGAGAGAAGTGACCTTCATGTTATGAACTAAAGGTCACTTTTCTCGTGTCTTTTTGAATATATCGATTTATTGTTAATAGCACACGATTATGTAGCGTTTTTTTGAACTATACATTTCAAATGATAAATTCTATTAATCAAAAAACTCTTATGTACTTTTAGGTAGGTACACTTTTAGACTAGATGTTTAACGTCCAGCGTTACTTCCAATAATCTATAATCTATCTTAATCTATATACATATATAAAAATAGATTGCTGTTTCTTAGTCTCGCTAAAACTCGAGAACGGCTAAACCGATTTGGCTAATTTTAGTCTTGAAATACTCCTGGAAGTAGTAGTATCTTGAAATACTCCAGGGTAGGTTTAAAAGGTGAGAAAAATTGGAATAATTGCCGGGAAAACCCTAAAAACAGCCCTTTTCTATCTCCCATACAAACGATTTTTTGACATTAGACTTGATAACTAACTAATATGTCAATCATTCTGTTCGATTGAAATAGTAGAAATTTAATAAATACCAATACCGGGTTATTGAAGACGGTATAGAGTTTGCCCGGTCAGCTATACCTATATTACTAATGACGAAATTAACGCGGACGAAGTCGCGGGCAAAAACTAGTATCTTATAAAATGTCTGAGGTCAATATTTATACTTTTCAAATATAAGGTGATACTTTTAAATGTTGCCATTACAAAATTACAATGGTTCAGTATTATAATTGATTGTAATTGGTCATATAAATAAATAATTCTAAGCGTTATAGTATATCATAATTAGTACGGCACGGATGGCGATACTTGCAACAATATTCAACTATAAAAGAACTAAAAAGTCGTATATCAAGTGTACTTGGTTATTGGTGACAAATGGGTTCAAATTAGTTGGAAAGAGCAAAGTTTACGTAAAGACCGTCAACACTAACGTTGTCATCACACAAACATATCGTAGCAATTTCAATTTTATTACAATGGCCGAGGGCACAGTATTCAATTAGATGTGATAAGGCGCCGTGCCTATTTTCGGGCGAACATTAGCCTCAATAAACCCTTTTTGTGACAGCTGTTATCCGTCAACCCAAAATGACATTGACGTCCAAATTGAATCTTGAAGTATGTCAGGAATAATCATAGATAATTAATTACATTTGCTTTCAGTCTGTTTATTATGTTCAATATTTATAATTTTGGAGATTATTTATTAAAGAAATATATATGTATTTTAAGTAGTAGAAATATATTATTGTAGAAATGTACAACCATTTAATGAAAAAAGTTGAATTCCCAATAAACATAAGAACTGTCCTAAATAAACAAGCTACACTTAATTTCTTTTCTTAAATCAACATTCACAAAGGCTAGATAAAATATTAAATAACGCATCAGGGCTTAGTTTATTATTAAAATATATAAGTATATTTACGTTATAAGCAGTGCCGAATATTAAATAATCAAAAATTTATTAATATCTGACCCCTATTAAGGACAAACTTGGCCTAAACATAAAATGTCAATCTATAAATGCCATCGTAACCTTTGAGGAGTTCGTCCGTAGTGATAATGCCACCATCAATTTATTGCCAGTTTGTAAATAGACAAAAAATAAGTTATTGTTTATATAGTATGGTATTTTTATCATGTCAAATATATTTGAATACCTTTTGTATATATTAACAATTACTTTCTTTTAACTTACCGAATATTATCTTGTTATTACAAAACGCATTAAGAAAATACTTTAGATATTTTGTTTGGAATAACGCCATCTATCAAAAGTTTTAAGTACCAATTGTTAGTTCACAACTTATCTTGTAGCGACATCTGTTATTGGAATATTGTGTGATCAAATGAAAGGAGTTGATCATTTCGTCACAAGAGGGCGTTTAGTTAATATTATAATTATTTTGCTAAAGTTGATTAATTTCTGAAATAAAATACTAAATATTAAAAAAAGAAACTACAAGCTATTTTTGTTATAACTTATATGTAAATTTCATTCCCAATTATTCATTTTGTTAAATTAATTCAAGTAAATAATTTACTTTTGTCTACATCGTATTCTTATTAAGATAAAATGTTTTGATGAGAAAATTTTGCAAATATTCATAAATTCTCTTTCACGAAAAAGATTAATTAATTAACCAAATTTTAATGCAAGAATAAATATATTTAGGGCCTAATATTATAATTCAGCGATTATATTATCTAGGTTGGTTATATTTTTATGCTCTGTTAAATAAGACTTAAAAGTTTGAGATTTAAAATTGATACAAAATACAAAATATTTTTGAGTTTAGGTATAAACTTATTAAGGAAATTTTTATTCAGGCATTTTTAACGTTTTTTCTAATTTCACGTACAGTTCGACCTTAAATAAAACTGAATGTCCAATTTGCATATATTTGAATCTTGCATCTCGCGATCTTGATAACTGCAAATTAATATAAAGGTCGGATTCAAATTATTTTGAAGTATTTACAAAGTTTTCTTTACTTATATCCACTTGTATGGTATAAGGAGGTCAATATTAACTTGCTTCGAATGATCCGAGGTTGTCAATTGTTCTAATAAAATCATATCAATCCTTTTATAGTTTAACTAAAGTGACCAAATTATTGTCATACAATACTATATTCGTAATATTTTGATAATTTTAATGACATCGCAAGATTTTTATATGAAAATTAATTGAATCATTGTAGTTTTAATTAACACTAATTGAGACTTGTAGTAATTCATAAACATATGTTTTATGACCATCCCTTATATCGAAAGGATATTTAGAATGTATTATAAAAAGGCTTTACTATGCTATTTAACCAGGCTTATATGTTAGGCATTCCATTCAGATTAGGGTTTGCATTTACATATATAGAATATAATTAAAAAACATTTAAGTATGTTATATATATTATTATATTATAAATTCACTTATTATGAAAAACGATTTTATTCACTAATATGTATTATTTAATTTAAATCGCAATTTATATATATTTTATAATTTGAGTCAAGTAATCCTTGAATGAAATGCATCACCAAAAACTTTATTTCAATTAAAAATAATGATATTAATGCATGAAATAGAAATGAAAATGAAATCTACTAAACTACAAGCCCTGTTTATATTACTCAGAACGAGTCAGCGTCACGAAGGCAACAGGTTTTTCAACTTGCTAAGCTACTTGAGTATTTTGCATTCGTTTTTTTTTGTCATATAATGTATACAAACAGTATAGCCTGGTTAATACATTACGTTTAGATTTCATAGTATAGTGTAGTTATTCAACATTCCTTTTGTTATTGGTTATAGTGTTTCAATAGATTTACTGTGTATCGAATTCAGTCTTTAAGATATAGGCGAAAAAAATTAAAAGGACAATACATTTTTGGATATATAAACATATTACTATCGTTTTTATTAAACATGTGTTCCTGTCTGAATATTGTGTTATGATAATTTGAAAGACACTAGTAACATTATGGCAATGAAATAAAACTATATTTTTCATTCTTCAATAAAACAATAAAATATCGTACTTATATTAGATATTGATTTAGGAATCATAGATTCATTTTTGATTTAATTTTTCACAGCTTTGACATAATTATTATTTATAACTAGAAGACCTGGCGAACTTCGTATCGCCCTATAATAATCAAGAAATATCTATTACGTTTTTTTATTTATATTTTTGGGAGTTTACCTGTAAGCCATAAATCTCCGTGTTTTGAAGTGCGACAGAATGATTGACATATTAGTTAGTTGTCAAATCTAATGTCAAAAAAAACGTTTGTATGGGAAATAGAAAAGGGCTGTTTTTATGGTTTTCCCAGTAATTAATCAATTTTTTTCATCTTTTATACCTTCCCTGAACCTCCACGAATATTTCAAGACTAAGATAAGATAAATCCGTTCAGCTGTTCTCGAGTTTTAGCGAGACTAAGGAACAGCAATCCATTTTTATATATATAGAAGATGACAATGTCTATGCGAAACACAGCTTCGTGTCATTTTACATACACTATGGGAACGCGTGATGACGCGGACTTCCGTATCCTGCTACACTTGTACTACAAATAATAAATTAAACATTTGAGAATATAAAAAAATCTACTGTAAATATATGAAAGATTTTAGTTAAATTACATGTTATATGATTAGAATCGCTAGTTATCTGTGTCAGTGTTTCTGCGCGTGAAAACTAATTATAAATTTTGGCCAACGGTGTGCCACAGACATACATAGCTATGTCAAAATTTTATAGAGTTTATATTTGAAGACGAAGTATACGTGACTTCATTTGAAATCATGTATTATATCTTACTCTAGATAATACTAGATTTAATAAGAATTTTGATTTTATAAGAATTTTGATTGTATTGTTTGTTTTTATCTAAAACTTTAAAAATTAAAATATTTACTTATAACAAAATTTTTATGCACCGTACACTCTTTACCTTATGTATTGGCAATGTTTTATTTTTTAAGTTGTAAAATCAAAACAGTTGAATTTAAAATTATAACTATTTTAAAATGAAAATGAAAATTATAAAATAATTGTAAAGAATTTGTTGGTTTAAACACAAATTATTTTCAAAATATTGATCACATTGTTATAAGTTATGATGCTGAAAGTTTTTTATATGAATTAAATAATAAAAAAAAATTTAATATACGAACTTTTCTTGCATATAAATAAAAAAAAATAATAACTTTATATTATAAAAGAAAAGCGTTTATACAACAATTGATTTACTCCCCAATCAAAGGTCTCATTTTATTTTAAGTCGATAACAACATAATCATTTGACGAAGATATAAATGTCGTATATTTTAAGAGTATAGTCAATTGCGATGAGCCGAAATCAAATTAGTATTTGTTCCACGATGTAACCAAATGTTGGTAGTCATTTAAAACCATATGTGGATGTCGTTTTGGAGGCGAGTTGCCTCTGCGCAGACTGCCCGGCACCCAGTCGTTGTAATGGCCGCTTCGGATGTGCGCGTGCGCACTTTATAACCAAAAAGTTTTACTTTCACCATATATAATATTTTTTAAACTAAATTGAACAGTGCCAAGTTATTAAATCTATGAATTTTCTACGGTGAAATTTATACGGTTTAATAAAATTAGCGCTTTCGAAACTTTAATAGTTTTAAAGTTTATTTTATTAGTTTGTATTGGTGTGATTCGCTTGTGTTATTTTGTTCTATTGTGCGGTTAAATCGTTTCACGGATCCTTATCAACGTTATCAGTCATCTCGATCGTTATCACGTCGTAATGGAAGATTCTTTGTATATCATAGTTTTAATGACATTCTTTATAGGACGCCGCTATTAATTAATGTTTTCTATTCCGTCCTTATACTGTTAATCGCGGCATACATTCCCATTTTCATAAATGTGTCAACATCGCTGTTTATATACACTTCTATATATGACTTGTTATTAAATATTTTTATTCTAATTAATTTCAATATTTTTTAAATTGTTTTATTTGTAACGCTCTTAATCAATTTGTCATTGAATTAGTTTCTTTGTTTATCAAGAACGTGTTTCTGTTTTTATATAATGTTGTTGTGTAATGATTTAAAGGATATGTTCAAATATCTTTAAAAAAATTGTATTTTATCTCTAACCAACCGTGGTTTTGATTAGCATCTAATTGGATGTATTTCCTTTTTGACTTCACCGAGTTAGGTTCGGACAACTTTTCATATATGGTTGAACGTTGTCCTAATTGTGTTATACCAAAACACTTCGCCGTTTTTAATAATCATTCGAGGTTCATCTTTAATGTCAGTTATTTAAACATAATTTTGTTGAATATATCGCAAGCATATTATGTAAACATTACATCTGTTTAACTATAAACAATATGTCTAAGAAGTACAGGATTTTTTTAATCAACTTGTTATTTCTGCAGCGTTGAATTCCTGCATTTAATGAAAACAATTTCAAGGATTTAAGCAAATAGTTTTATATATAGATTTGAACATATTATGTGTATACTTCACTCTTGTAGGGTCAGTACTAGTTTTCTGGGTGGAATTATATCTGAACCAGTCAAGGTCACTGAGTTTATCATATGGTTAGCGCACCCATAATATTTACAAAACATAACATCTTGTATGATGAATCATATTAAAGTTGTTGTTCTATGTTTACATTGATTCTAGGATATACTTCTGAGTCACATTCTCTCGTGCCAGATAATTGCAAATGTTCGATCAGTCTACATTCGTCAACCTCTAAATGCGCTCGTTTTGTTCCTCTTATCAAACTTGCAGTCATTTCAGTTTGTTTTATCAAATAAACGTGCGCGGCCAATGTTTTATACGCGATACCATAATGTATTGAACCGTATTTGAGTGCGAACATTAATATTATTTATCGTCTCAATAGTGCAATGTTCATATAAAGTTATTCTAGTCAGTGATGTGATCTGACTTCATTAAAATGTTTTACGGTGTTATTATTGCGTTTGGCGCGTTTATATACGTCGTGTGGAAGTATTTCTTTGCCAAAAGTCTGGGTACAAATTTGTCATCTGACGGCAGTTATACTAAAGAAACTATTAAAGAAGAAGTTTTGCAACAACGAAGTAAAATTTGTCACGACGAAAGTATCAGTTCTGAATGTCATGATGAAGCTGATCGTGTGTTTGAGAGAGAGACAGATATTTCCGACAGTATCAAAAATTTTGATGTGAATTTTAACAAAGGTGACTTTGAGAAAGTTATTTGTGAAGAAGACAAGAAAGAGAATAAAGGACAAAATGTTGAAACGACGTCAGAAGATCCTGGAAATGAAAGACACACATTTGATGTATTAGCTACAACTATAAACAAAATTGAAAATGATCACAATGAATTATTAACACCAAGCGTAATACTGAGGCAGCGCAACTTAAACAAACCAAATGCCAAATTAGTTAAAAGAAACAGCCCTCCAAAAGAACGATTCGCAGAGTATTTAGAGAAGACTGTTTTGAATGATGACAAATTACAATCTATTATACAAAATTTGGCACTCAACGAATGTCACGCAAAACCCGAGAATGTTGATATAGAACCTCAAATAAAGGAAAACAGTCCTTTTAGTGAACGAACATTAATATTACAAAATACAATAGACGATATTGCTGATCGAATAAAACATTTGGGTGAAAAATTGACGGATAATGAATCTAATATAGGTAAAAAAGCGAACAAAAATTATACAGAATGCGAACAAAATGAACCAGATAATGATGAACATAGGAAACCACTTTTACTTAGACGTCTCAAAACACAGTCGGCCCTACCATCCGGCCTAAACTTCGGCTCAGTGATTGGTGAATTGAAAAATAAAACTAGGAATGGAAACGGATTGAAGCCGGTTTTTAAGAAATTTGATAACGAAGCTGCTGAAAATCAGGCATGTTCATATAATAAATATAAAAAATAATTTACAGCCTTTTAAATCCTCTTAATATGTATGGGAAGCATCATGATAAACGCAATGGTTTCTACGTAACAACGTTTATTATCTTATCTTATATTTATATGTGAGAGATCGTAACTCTTAAAAGAATTGTAATTCACATTCGTCACGAAAGCTTGCCTAACGCAAACTAAGGCTTAATTCATAAACATTTCAAGATAGTCACAATACATTTATATTTACTCAAAAACTGCAAAACTAATTCCATTTAACTTTACAGTTATGTAACTCATGTATCAGAATAACTACAGTTTTGAACTATATGTTATATTTGGTTAAGAAATATGTTAATTTTCGATGAACAAAGTTATTGAAATCAGATAATATTATTGTTTATTTATTTATTAATGTTTATATCACGTTTTAATCAATTTATAATTGTGCAGGAGTCTTTAAACGCAGCTGTAGACGAAAAGAAGAAAGTTCAAATAGATGAAAACGAATTGGGAAATAACATCTTAGCTGATAGAAGGAACAAATTGGAAACAGCCGCTCAGGTAAATTAAATTAATACATATAAATATAACACATAGTTAAGATCATTTAATAAATAATAAAAATATATTTAACCTGAAAATATTCCTTATATTTATGGTGTATTCATGTTTGGGTAAATTAAATGTTTTAAAACAATTACATTGTAAGCTGTCGTACAGTCAGGCTTTAAAACCGCAGAGTATGACAAATAATATATACTCATTCATTTGTTAGACATTCGATGATTTGCTTTGTATTTTTTATTATTTCAATTATTTTTACGATTTAAATTTGGTAATTAATGAAACTACTATAAGAGTGTGTTTCTATTTTTTAGTACGACTTAAGTTTTATATATTTTTATAACGCTTGGGAATATTTAAATTAAGATATCCTTATGGTTTATTTCCAATAATATTTTAAACAAAGGAAAAATACCAAGGTGTTTCTGTATTGTATTGTTTTATAGCTAATTGCTCCGACCTATATCCATAAACAGTTTCCGTCTTTCGAAATCCTTTCTTTATGTAGGTCAATGTTATTGTCAACTCTTTGACTTTTTTCTATATTTTAATAGGCTTATACCACAACATTATAACGTGCCATAATTCTAATGTTTCTTTAATAATCATTTGAGTTGTATATAATTAAATGTTAGAAAGTGAGAAATTCGTAGAGGCTATTGTAATTATGTTTGTGAGATGGTTTAATGAAATTATGGCCGTATTTTAACTTAGTCATGAGTAATTTGGAACTTATACCACAATGAGTCATTGACCGCATACTGATATAAAGTAATTCGTGGAATTTGTTAAATTTTAACATTGAATATTATATCCTAAATCTTTGATAATTAGGTTATGATTCAAATGACGTGACTTAGAAATAAAATAAAAAAGACTGATTTTTTGGGGCGATTCTGTCTGCGACTTTGTCTAATCTTAATTATGGCCTAAAAATATAGATTACCTCTAAAGAAATGCTTGTAGTATAAAAAAATATTAATATTATAGGCTAAAGTTCAGACAAATATTTACTTTGTTAACAATATTATATCGTGAAGAAAATGAGAACTGATTCAAGTACGAAGTCACGTACTAAATGAAAACGAAATGTTATGAAACTAGATGCGCCCCGCGGTGTTACCCGCTGATTTTCGGGATTTCCGAGATTTCCGGGATGTAAAGTAGCCTATGTGTTATTCCTGGACGTCCGCTTCCTGTATACAAAATTTTATCGAAATCGGTTCAGCCGTTTGAGCGTGAAGGAGTAACAGACATACACACACACTCACAAACTTTCGCAATTATAATATTAGTAGGATTAGCAAAGAAAAAACTTCATGACTAAATGTTAATTATATGAGCGTTTGATAAATGTGTGTCCTCAGGGATGGCGGAAGCGTGTTCCACAGAACGATGCGTCACTGTTCACAGTCGCTGGTCGTTTAGAGCGGGACAAAGTGAACACAACCACGCCACCACTGACGCCGCCGCCCGCTACCACTCCGCCTGTGGCCACACCCGCTATCACACCGGCCATACCACAACCTAATAGATTCAGGTATGAGAACAAAAAATTTGCTCATTATATAATTCGTATTTGAAGACAATATCATATTTTATATAAATATGAATATATGGTTTCTTATTCTTAAAAGCTCTAGCGTAGTTTAAAAGCCAGGAAAAAATATTAGTTTGACAAAAAAACACGACCAACCTTAGCTAACTATAATTTATGATTGTTTAAAATATTTTGTTAGTTTTAAACAATAATAGTATTGTTATGAAAAAAAAGTAACTGCCGATTTCTTGTAATATTACAATATACCTAAAGATAAAGTTACCATCAATTTATAAGATAATCCTGATTTCTCAATCAAAATAGTTCAACAATAATTCCAGAAAAATGTTTCATGTACAGGGTGACTGGTGAATTACTATCAATATTTAAGGAGCATACTCGTTACACGATTCTCTTTTGAATTGTGTAAAAAAAATAGGTACTTAATTTTTGACCAAATTTCCGTATAAATAAATAAAGTGTGGACACGTTCCAAGTGTACCAAGTGGGGACGCGTGCGGCGGCGTGCTGATACAACACCACGCCGCCGCACGCGCGTGTGTGTGTGTATACCTAATCTGTAGGGTGTTCACACGATGCGTAATTAATTACATAACTTTTGGTTAACTTTACTTAGAAGTTTATTAATATTTATGTTATATTAATTTTTATTTTGTCATATATGATCGTCAAATATCACGTCCTCAAGTATCGATAGTAATTCACCAGTCACCCTGTATGTAAAAAAATATTAATAATAAAAAAAAATAGTAGCTTTTAACTTCTAGATATTTCAAAAGGAAAAAACAAATAACATACCTTAATTAATATTAAATATTTTGTAATACAATCAGTGGATTGATAATAATAAATCGTACATTTTCGTTACCAAATTCGGATACAGGAATCTCTTAAATCGGCGTCCTTACTTACAGTAATTAGTATTATAAATTTTATAGCGTATATACGTATACTGATTAAAAATTTCCAATAAATATGTCACAATTAAGAAAATATATATGTGTATATAGTGAGTATCCTTCAACACATACAGATGAATTAACTCGTTATATAAATTTAATTTAACGTCAAGGCGAATGGACATCCGCTGGCAATGAGGACTCGGACAGATATAAGGAAAACTGTATTACGCAGAACTCAGTACTATAGAAAACATGCAAAATTAATTACTCTATTTGTTTAATAATAATTAATAAACATGTTATTATATATTATTACTATATAAACAGTTTATACGTGTCATTTTTTAGTACATGTCTGCGAGATTTTTTTGTATCGTAAACCTTGAAACTTATGGTTTGTAGGTTAAACGTTGAAAACTAGTATTAAGTGCATATGTGTCTGGACATAACCAATACAGTTAACCTACTGGATATTTTACTCCATATAACCAAATAAAGTATTACAAGTAACGATGGTTGTGCATTGGGACCTTACATGGAGACAGACCTTCACAACGAGTAGCATAGACTTACTGCATTACACGAACGTGTTTCCGCGAAACGTATTGTTAATACAATCGTTATTGGATGAAAAATAAACTATTTCTTAAAGGCACTATAAAATAATTAAAATACTACTACGATTTGAAATGATTATTTATGTGTTTTTTTTATTATAATGTTAACAGATCTCGTAAAGCTCCAACATCCCCTACCAATGGCTTCGCATCAGGTCCGCTCCGATCGGCGTCGTGTGCTGTGATGAGCGCCGCTGAAAAACCAAAGGAAACGCCGAAGATTGATAGGGAATCGTTCAAACGAAGTCATTCCGTCAGCGAGAGTATCAGTCGAGTTGATGAAAGTGAGTTTTCGTTATTATTCACAAATGTTATATTACTTAAACGACTTAAAGGAATATACCATACGACAAGCCAAAGACATTATAAATTCAAGACAAAAGCATTACAGTAATGTAGCGATGAATCATTTTGTATACGGAAGAGATTTTTAAGGTCTCACGAGAAACAATAACTTTATTATTTACCTTTCTTTATTTCTTTCGTTCCTCTTATTTTATTATTAACACTGTCTTTAAATTACTTCCTGATATTTAATATTTTATTTTGGATATTTATATACATATATGTGTAGGAAATAAATAATATATATGTGGTCGTTATTTCAGATGAAGAATCAATAGGTGTGGAGAAGAAAGGTTGTTCTGTGATAGTGCCTCGAGCAGATGATGAGACCTTCCAAGCGTTCTTCACGCCCGCTCTACAACAACTAGACAAAACATCCGCGGCCGATGTAGACATTGATCTAGATGCTATTGATAGCGCCTCTAGGCAAATGTAAGGAATAAAAACCAATATAATATATACGTTTGTCAATCTAGCCTTTTCTAAGGATTATATGATGTTATACATTAATGTGGTACATAAAATCAATGTGTTCTCAAAATCTAGTAATATAATTAAACGACTTAAAAAAATGCGATAGTTCTTCAATTCTATCTCAGATTATTTTTAGAAATAAAGTAAAACTTCTAATTTAAACAAAAAAACTTCTAATATATCAAACTGCAGCTATATCATATTATATACTTCATATCCTTTAAAAAAAATTAAACATCTAACATTGAAAAAATCATTTACCACCTCATATATTATACCGAGATAGTTATATATTCCTTAACATCATATATTATATGTTCCAGTTTATCCAACGAGTGGGCCCGTCGCGCCAAGCGTGAGCGTCGTCACGTGTCCCGCAACCCGCTGCGAGCGCTGGCCGCCAGGACCGACCTGAGGCAGGAGTACCTCGCGCAACCTCCCGCAACCAACAAACAGGCAACCAAGGAGAAAGGTACTTACACTTACACGAAACACATTCAGTGGTGGCCCAGTGGTTAAAGGACCCGCCTCTCGTTGCAGAGGGCGCGGGTTCGATCCTGGCCCGGGCAAGTACCAATGTGATTCTTCCGAATCATATGTACTCTCTAAGAGTATTTAGACATCACTGATTAATGTTGATTCCCAAAAGAGTGTTGACGTCAGGCAGGCGGCCGGTCGTAAAAACAAATAGCCAAAACAATTTACAACATGTAAGGCAGACCTTGGCTAAAGCTGGGAAATTACCGGCTAGAAGAAGAACCACATACATTATATATTGACATGAAAACAGATGTTAGATTAGTATTATTTTTTATGTCTCAGGGTCATAAAATTATATTTTTATTAACAACCGGATATTAAAACCCGGTGCGAATTTGAGTACTGACTTCGTCATTGCAACTAAAATAGTAACTCATATAGTGAAAGATTAAGACGGAATCTGCGTTTAATATTTTCTTTATATAAAAAATCTTTATTATATAATAATTACTGGAAATCTTATATAGTATAAACTATTAAGAAAGTGTTTTTTAATTTCCAGTGATAGCTAACTGCGGATTGGCAGCCGAAGCGTTGGCAGCACTCGCCACTAAAGAAGACTTCTCAAACGTTGCGTTGAGGAGCGCGTCGGCTAATAATATACCGAGTCAAGGAACGAAATCTGTTATGATGATGCACGTTAAAGGAAGAAGACGGCTGCAGGTAACGATATGTAGATATATCTATCTATATTTATATAACAACAAGTAAATACATATAGTATCCAGTTTAAAATTCATTTAATATGCTCATAACTTGTGTGAAGATTATATATGAAAGTTTTAAACTATGTTTGCGTGTTTAGATTGAGGATTGAATTGAATTAATACTTATTACCTAAAAGTAAAACATACTTAAGTTCAGTAGATAATAAAAAAATAATACAAACATATATACACAAATAAAATAATATAAAAAATATTCAGTTCCTATTATAATTATAATCAACGTAAAGCATTACATTCCAACGTCGTTTGTTTTCATTACAAACTACTCCCACATACAGAATGCATATTAGATTAACTTAATGAGGAGCTATTGATTGCTATTTAACAACTACATTCAATGTTTATGGTTAATTTGATTTAAATAATCACACATCATTGTATTGTACTGATAATTGCGACGTATACATGGTGTGTTGTGAACGTTTATGCATGTAATTACAAATACATACTATGACTTAATAACATATGTACAAGAATTGATACGTGATACAATGTATTATATTATATATTATAATAATGTATTTATTCTTCCATATTTTTTGTATTTATTATTGTATTAATTTCATTGTATATGTTCCATTTAAATTTACTTCAATAATAAGTTCATAAGTGCTCTAATATTATTGTATTTTACCATAGTATTATAGTCAAATTCTTTATAGAAAAAACGAATATAATAAAATTCCTTTACTTGAGCCAGTGCTTGAACTTGAACAGTTGAAACTTGAACAGTTGAAATTTGACCAGTTTTTGTTTCGTTTCAGACTCGTCTCGTTGAACCCGTTCATACAAACGTGAACCGAGGTGATTGTTTCGTCCTCGTCACTAGTGACCAGCTGTTCCTCTATATCGGACTATATGCCAACGTTATTGAAAGGTTTGTACATTAATATATTTAATAACACGAGTTATATATTGACCGAGATTGGTTCTAGTATATATAATGATAAAAAGATTATACAAAATGATTTGTTTTGGTTGTTAGATATATCAGAAAAAAGGACTTAATAAATGTTATTTATTATTATGTTACAAATATACTAATAATCAAGCCATAATTACGTTTTACAGAAATCGCAGCACAGACATCGCACAACACATATACAATACAAAGGATCTGGGATGTAAAAACGCGACTGGAGTTATAAAGATAGACGAACAAACAAAGAACTACTCAAACAAACATTGGAACCAGTTCTGGTCGCTCCTCGGCGTCACAGATGGTATAGAGGATTACAGGCCAGCGGAAACTGGTTTACCAGACGAAGACGAAATATACGAGTCTTGTGTCATACAGACTAACATGTGCTACGAAGTCATAGACGATGAACTGGTGCCGATCAAGGAATACTGGGGACAAGTACCGAAGATAGCCATGTTACACCAATCAAAAGTCATAGTGTTCGACTTCGGCTCGGAAATGTATATATGGTACGGCAAGAACGTGCCTCTGGAAAGTAGAAGACGAGCCGCGCAACTAGCACAGGAACTATTCGATGAAGGTTATAACTACGAGGAATGTCATATAAATCCGATAAACGCGGCCGCTTACCAAGGACTCAGAAATGATATGCCATCGAACATCAAATCTGATAAAATTAGACCGGAATGGACGATTCTATCGAAAGTCACACAACACATGGAAACCATATTGTTCAAAGAGAAATTCCTCGACTGGCCGGACTACAGTCGGGTTATAAAAGTTAAAACTCAAGAGAATAAATCTAACAGCGTAGAAATCAATCCGTGCGATGCCGAGGAAATGTGGTCCAACGAATACCAAGACCCAGATCTCATTTTGGAAGGGTCCCACATCGGCCGCGGCACACATTACTACGATAAAGATACGATGCGACATTATGATATTAAAACCAAATCTGTATGCAAATGGGTCATACAGGAATATGATTACCAGGAGGTTAAAAATGAGTCTGAAATCGGGGAATTCTTCTCGGGAGATAGTTACATCATAAGATGGGAATACCAGATAACGGTGACGGGTAGAGAGTTGAATGGGAAACCGTCAAAGCACAATTTAACTGGTAGGGAAAGATGCGCTTACTTCTGTTGGCAAGGCAAAGACGCATCCTCTAATGAAAAAGGTGCAGCCGCTTTGTTGACGGTCGAACTAGACAGAGAGAAGGGTCCCCAAATTAGAGTGGCCCAGGGCAATGAACCGCCGGCGTTCTTGAACCTGTTCCAAGGAAACTTAGTCATCCATCAAGGCAAGAAAGGGACGGATAAGAGCCGCTTCCGGTTATACGGAACGAGAGGAAACGTTTTAAACGAGGCGTATCTATTACAAGTTCCGTGTTCCGTCAGACAACTCCGCAGTCGAGGTTCCCTAATATTAGTCGACACTGAGAAATCCTGCGTATACATATGGCACGGCGCGCGCAGTATGAAGCACACACAACAGATAGCCATCGAATTAGCCAATAAGCTGGTTGCTCAAAAGTGTCATATATTTAGCAGCTCCGATATAAAAGTGAGTTCAGTTAAGGAGGGGGAGGAGAGTAAGGAGTTCCTCGATGGTCTAGGAGTCACCAGTAAACAGTACTACAATTCAGTTCTAAGCGGGAGAGACGTCGGCTCGGATGTGACTCCTAGACTATTCCACTTCACGGACCTTGGTGGTCAGTTTGAGGCGCACGAGGTGTTGTCACCGCTAAGACACGAGACACTAGTGACACCCTTCCCTTTTGAACAAAAGGAGTTGTATTCCGCTTCACAACCTGGTGAGATATTCAAATAACATCATTAAAATTTCAATCCCATGTTACCACATTCAAAACATCTGTAATTTTTTACTCTTAATTAGCAAATATTACATTTATTCTGTCAATAAATATAAAACAATATGTCGTTATACTGAGCCGTATGTTTTTATAGTATATCTATTACGCTTTAATCAAAATATCTTATTATTTATCTTATAAACCAAATAGTATCATCACTTCAGTTTTATTGTTTCAATATCTAGTTTATAAAGTACCAAAAAATATCACAGAGATTCACATTTTTCCTGTTTCTTTATACAGGGTGACTGGTGAATTACTATCGATACTTGAGGACGTGACATTTGACGATCATATATGACAAAATAAAAATTAATATAACATAAATATTAATAAACTTCTAAGTAAAGTTAACCAAAAGTTATGTAATTAATTACGCATCGTGTGAACATCCTACAGATTAGGTATACACTCACACTCACACATACGCGGACGGCGGCGTAGTGTTGTATCAGCACGCCGCCGCACGCGTCCACACTTGGAACACTTGGAACGTGTCAACACTTTATTTATTTATACGGAAATTTTGTCAAAAATTAAGTGCCTATTTTTTTTACATAATTCGAATGAGAATCATGTACCGAGTATTCTCCTTAAATATTGATAGTAATTCACCAGTCACCCTGTATATTAAAACTTATGACGACTTATAAAGCCTATTATATATATTAATGTATATACTATGTATAATTCCAGCCTTGTTCCTGATGGATGACGGTGTGTGCGTGTGGCTGTGGCAAGGATGGTGGCCGAAAGGAGAGGACGGGGAGTACGAGCCCGAGAGAAACACAGGTTAGATATAGAACTATCATATTAATTAACCAATAACAACCAAAAAGGTTCTCAAATAACACTCGCATCTCTGCCCGTGATAATGGTTGCTGTAAAGTAGCCGAAACGTCAGCAGTATGTAGTTTATAGTCAAAAATAAAAACGCGAATTAAATCCGAAAATATTAGTTTCATTTAAATGAGTATTCGCGAAAATCTTAAGGTTCTCAAATGCAAGAGTATCTTCGTTTTAAACATACGCAGCAGTTGCATTAAATGTATACGAAAACGGTCCTTAAGTAGAAGAGTAAGGTTTTCTTCTGTAACCGGGGATTTTGCATCAAATGTATGAGACGATAATGAACCTTCCTTGGGATTTTACTATAAGTTATACAAAACATAAGATCTAATACTTTCGCGAGTATTCATTTAAATGAAATATATTTTTTCGGATTACTATGCATTCTCATATCGTCTGATCGTCATCACGGTTGCTATAAAGTAATCTAAAGTCAGGAGTATGAGATTTAAAATAACAATTAAAAAAAACGCGTATAATCCGTATAGCATAGTATAGTCCGTTTAATATAGTATAGTCCGTATAGCATAGTATAGTATTTATTTAAAAAGTCAGTGGTGGCCTAGTGGTTAAAGGGCCCGCCTCTCGTTGCCGAGGGCGCGGTTTCGATCCTGGCCCGGGCAAGCACCAATGTGATCTTTCCGAGTCATATGTACTTTCTAAGACTATTTAGACATCACTGATTAATTTTGATTCCCAAAAGAGGGTTGATGTCAGGCAGGCGGCCGGTCGTAAAAACAAATAGCCAAAACTATACACAACATGTAAGGCAGACCCTGGCTATAGCTGGGGAATTGCCAGGTAGAAGAAGAAGAGTATAGCATGGTATAGTCCGTATAGTATAGTCAATATTATTAATACAAATCCATGCGTTAGGTGTGGGAGCTTTCGCCGCTCGCTGGCAGGCCATGCGGGTGGCTGCTCTACGTACAGCCGAGGAGTACTGGCGCGTGTCCCGCGGGTCCAGGCCTGATGTACGAGTGGTGGCCGCGGGCCTTGAACCTCAGGCCTTCACGGACCTGTTCGACACATGGACGGATCACGACGAGGCCGCTGACGCTAATATTGCTGTAAGTATCACATCATTGCACTAGATTTTAATTTATAATACAAATTAAATACTTTCTGTTCATGTATGTATCTGAGATAGGAATAGAGAGGTTTCTGTGTATAAATTATAAGGTCCTTATTAAATTTCTTGGTGATAAATGCTTAATTTGGTACATTTAATTCTAAGATATAGTAATTAAGTTTTACAAAAAAAAACATGTATAAATATAAATAATTTGTACCGTACGGTGTCGGTTGGATGTATAAATATCGGTGTCGGTGCTCATAATACTCTCGCACATATTGTACAAACGCACGTTCCTCAGCACGGGTACAAGGCGGGTGAGTGCGTGTCGGGCTCGGTGGAGTTGTCGCGGCTGTCTAGTTGTGACGCTGTACTGCCTCTCGCCGCACTACAGAGACGACCGCTACCCGACCACGTGGACCCTCACCACCTAGAGAGACACCTGTCCTCGCCTGACTTCCTGGTATGTAATTCTGTGTATAGTGTATATAGAATATCCTCCAACCGTTTAGACTCGCACCAGCTCTAGAGAAGTATACTGGCCCTACTAGTTGGTACGTACTTCTGTGTATAGGGAATATTGAACGCCCTCCCATCATTTAGACTCGCTCCAGCTCTTGAGAAGTATACTGAGGCTACTTACTAGTATGTATTTCTGTGTACAGTGTATATTATTTCCTCAAACTACTTGGACTCCCACCAGCTATAAAAGACTCTTCCTTGTACATTATTATTTTGCGTGCCACCACGTATTTAAATTTAATACCTTAATGGTACATGTATAGTATGTTACCCTAGGAAAGATTGATATAAAATGAAAATATAACAAATTATATAAAACTTACTATTTTCTTTTTACAGGAGGCTTTTGGAATGACCAAAGAAGAATTTTCAGTGTTACCAGCTTGGAAACAGACGAATATGAAGAAAGATGTGGGGCTGTTCTGAAGATTCGAAGATCAAGTCATCGATATAAAGACACAGACCGCTCATTGGTTACTGCGGAACACTGATAGATCTCTGGAATAGAATTTTTGTAAATCGCAGCTATTTCGTACTTTTTATACCGAACAATGTCAAGGGATTTGAAATATGAATAATGTTAAGCACGCTTCGATTTTATAGCAATGAAACAATTTTTTGTACTAACGGAATGTAAAATTCACGTGATATTTTCTTGTAACCGCCGTAGTATAGGCATGTAGAAGCAATAGGATTTGAAAATTTGGAATTGTATAGAGTTGTTATTTGTCGCATCCATGGCATGTTATATAATACTAATTGTATATAGCACTTTAGTTTTTTAATTTATAATTTAAACATTTCTGAATGTACTTTTGTCTCATTTTAAAGCACTTTTTATTTCCTATGTTATGTATACTGTAGGCGTTTTAGATACATTTTTATCGATATTGCATGGATATGACAAAAATCAACGAGAAAAAAAATAAGTGATATTTTTTATATATTTTGCTACTAGATGCGCCGCGTAATAAGATCGGTGCATTGTTGCAAAAATTCTAGTGTTAAAGTATCTGGTCATCGTATATTTATAAATCGCTAGATAACAGATACTGTTTACGCTTTAAGGTAGGCTTTATATAGTCTGTGGCGTTCGGACAACTCTTGTGATATCTGTCAAGTCGTTTGAAGGTCGTAGTGACGTCAGAGCGTCAACATCACATATCTATCTACTCATTAGCTACTCTTAAAGGCCGCCTGTGGACCACGTTTGAACAAATTGTTGTCTTCTATGACATATACAATTTTCTATCGCCTCTATTATACTAAAGTAAATTAAGTGAAATGTTTGTCGACTGACGTGTTAATTATCTGTGGTTGATCTTCATTTTGTTGTATTATCTGTAATATAAAGATACTTTTATGTAATCCATACGATACATTAATTAATATTTTATCTGTGTTGCAGATGCAAATTGATTACTGTGTTTTGTTTAAATTTCTATATTTTTATTTAACTAACATTGGCTTCGTGATTAATTTATTAAACTGTTGCTATGTTGTCTACAAGTTGAGATGTTTATTTTTGTATTTACCTTAGTTTATATATTTTCGTCTAACAAATTTTGTATGTATTGTCTTGTGAGCGGGCGTCAGTATTGTGGAATATATTTACTGCCAATGAGTAGAAATTAATCTTGTAACTATGAAGTCATACTTTAGTTCTCGTACTTAGTTAACATGAATAACATATTATATTTTATGCATTTACGACCGATCGCAGCGGGCCTACCGTCAAATAAACGTATCTCTCAAATCCAATGTTTAATGTTTGCTTTGGTTGTGTTACTTATACTATAATTATTATTGTATTGAGATTTATTTTGTATATTAATGATGTAATAAATTGCTAAAATTTTTATTATTATTTTATTTATTAAAATGAACCATAATAGAAATAATAATGGGAATGAGTAAAAAATTCTACAAAATTTAGAGATGTATTCTTGTGTAAGAACTTATTAATATAAGTATATATCCACATTTCAATAGAAATTTAATTCTAATTTTGTTATGAATGTAATGCTTTTAATTTTTATTTGATCAGTTATATATTAAAACAAAATTTTATTTGAAAGCACTGAAACTCCTAACTCAATTTCCGGTAATTTTTTACAGAAACGTATATTTATTTTTTATTGTTATAAGAGATGTTTCTTCCGTTATTTATATATCGTTTGATACTAATAAGTAAAAGGTAATGTTTCGTCAGGAGAATTTTATGTACAACAACATAAACATCATGGTATATAAGATACTTCCTGTGAGTAATTTATTTGTTTTATAATTTCTTAATTACCATGATCCTTGTTATGTGAGGAATCTTAGTTAGTCATAAGAAAAATTGATTCTATTAATATAAAGTGAAACAAAGGCTATATACAGGCAATTTGAAAATTAAAATAAAATGACACAAATCACATCATAAATAATAAATATATTCAATTACCTCGTTAATATTTACAAAATTGCACAAAGTGAGTTAAATAATCGACTTATTTTAAGGTTACAAATTAAGTTTCCACCTGCTGCTACCTACATTTCAAAGTCACACTCCAAAATGGATATGTTTTTGAAATTTATTCAACTTCTTAAGCTTGTCCATCGAGCCAGCTTTTGAAAACTTTTCCCCATCTCAATTCTTCTTTATCTTCATTTGGGTTTTCTGACTCTTGTTCCCCATCTCCACCATCCTCAACATCCCACTCACCATCTATAATGACGTCATCTATCCAAACGTTATCTTCTAAACTTCCATCGCCACTCTGTTCAAGTTTTCTTTTGATAAAATTTACCACAGAGTCCCTTTCGATATCAGAACCGGAACCCTCATCTTGGTCGTGAGCGTGGTCGTGTTCGTGGTCGTGTTCGTGGTCATGATCGTGGTCGTGGCCATGGTCATGGCTGTGGTCATGATCGTGGTCGTGGTCATGGCTGTGATCATGATGGTCGTGATCGTGGTCGTGGCCATGGTCATGGCTGTGGTCATGATCGTGGTCGTGGTCATGGCTGTGATCATGATGGTCGTGATCGTGGTCGTGGCCATGGTCATGGCTGTGGTCATGATCGTGGTCGTGGTCATGGCTGTGATCATGATGGTCGTGATCGTGGTCGTGGCCATGGTCATGGCTGTGGTCATGATCGTGGTCGTGGTCATGGCTGTGATCATGATGGTCGTGATCGTGGTCGTGGCCATGGTCATGGCTGTGGTCATGATCGTGGTCGTGGTCATGGCTGTGATCATGATTGTCGTGATCGTGGTCGTGATCATGGCTGTGGTCATGATCGTGTTCATGGTCATGATCGTGGTCGTGATCGTGGCCGTGGTCATGATCGTGGTCGTGGTCATGATTATGTTCAGATTCTTCAGAGTCATTCTCTTCTTCTTCTTGTTCTTCTTGTCTTTGAACGTTTCGTTCTAATCTTTTTATTTCCTCACCATTTTCTGAGCCTTCCCCGTTTTCTCCCTCTACTTGTTCTTCTTCTTCCTCCTCTTCGGGGAGTTCATCCTCAGGTTCAGACTCCTCTGGATTTTGTTGACCTGCATCCTCTTCTCCATCGGGTTGCTCAGCCTCTGGTTCTTGCTCAGGTTCTACGTCTTCTGGTTCTTGATCTGGTTCAGGTTCCTCTGGTTCTTGTTCTTCTTCAGGTTCTGGTTCTTGTTCTTCTTCAGGTTCTGGTTCTTGCTCTTCTTCAGGTTTTGGTTCTTGTTCTTCTTCAGGTTCTGGTTCTTGTTCTTCTTCAGGTTCTGGTTCTTGTTCTTCTTCAGGTTCTGGTTCTTCTTCAGGTTTAGGTTCTGGTTCTTGTTCTTCTTCAGGTTCTGGTTCTGGCTCTTCTTCAGGTTCAGGCTCAGGTTCTTGTTCTTCTTCAGGTTCTGGTTCCGGTTCTGGTTCTTCTTCAGGTTCAGGTTCTGGTTTTTGTTCTTCTTCAGGTTCAGGTTCTGGTTCTTGTTCTTCTTCAGGTTCTGGTTCAGGTTCTTGTTCTTCTTCAGGTTCTGGTTCCGGTTCTGGGTCTTCTTCAGGTTCTGATTCATCTGCGCGACAGCTCCTTGGAATTGGCGATCGGTCACAAATCTGAAATGCAATTTAGTTAAAAATGTCGATAATCGTAACAGTAAAATATTTATCGTTAAAATATTCATTTACTCTTATTTTTTTTACCTGTAGCTCTTCATTAAACCACGTCTCTTCTGGGCATTCCATTAGATAGGAACGTCCAGCATAGCACTGGTAATACAACTGGCAGCTATCAACATTGGCGATACGTAAGAAGTTGTCTTGGCCTAAGCAAAGAGTCTCCGGATTTTGTCTCAAATTAATTGAGAAGGCGGAAGCGCCAGCCAACGCCATAAAAAGGCACAAAAGCCTCATGGCCACTGAAAAAACAAACATATTTTATTAATTATTCTAAGAAATATTCTTCTAAATGTAAGTTATATTTCAACAAAAATAAGTGTTACATAATAAAAATTACGTAACATTTATTGACACTATCAAGTGAAATTAAAGGAGTATTTTTTTCTGTTCATAATATAAAAAAATAGATTAATAAGATATTTTGATTGTTTTACTATTTTTTTAATCACCCTTCACTAAGCTACACAGCTACAGCTTGAGAAGTATTTTAAAATTTTCTAAGAAATTAATTTATTATTTCATTCTAACAAATCTAAAAATAATTAAACTATATAACCATAGTATTTTTTTTTTCACACAAAAATAAGAATATACGTTTCACTTACTGTTCATTTCGACCGCTACTTTGCCTGTAACCTTCTATGATCGGGAGTAGAGTAATATATCTTGGGTTAGAACATCTATTTTATCTCAAATGTTATATCTCAGACAAGGATGATAGTGTCAGAAACAGATGCGGCATATTGATGATATTGTCGCTCAACATCTTATCTGTGAATGAACTACACATTGTAAAGCTAAGGATATTGATACCATTTTTATTTGCGTCAAATTTGTCGCAAAATATTTTTTTAATAGTTGTCCAATATGTAAATTGAATTGGGAAACATTAGAAAAAAAATCCCGACGCTACTAATACGTGGCTGAAACATTATGTCATATTATGTTTTGTTTTTTGTTACTTATTTACATGAAAATATGAAATAGTTATAGTACTAAATGTTCAATTTATCAACATTACTACAAAATCTAGACAAAGAAGTTCAATAAATTCATATATAAAATAATCTTGTAACTATAAAGCTTAGGGCTAAACTAGAGCGCTTTGTTTAGATGTGAATATTTGGAATACCGATCTGTTCTTATATCCGAATATATATATATATATATATATATATATATATATATATATATATTTTAACATTTTCATAAGTTAATCCGAAAAATAATTTTATATTATAAAATTGAGGCTCCAATAGTTTTTGCGATTAACACAATAACTACAGTGACGATTTCAAAATTCTTTTACCTAATATAGACCATATCTAGTGCTAAAAAAGATTCTGTACAAGAAAAGATTAACTGCTATTAAAAAATAAAGGAAATTTTACATGTAAAAAGGTAAAAATAGAGCAATAATCTTATTAACCAGTCCGAATCTCGAGTAGTAAGCTTGTTTAAAATAATTTATAACAAAGACCAAATAAAAAAGTATATTTTATATAATGTTTAAAATGAGTATATTAAAAATTAAACATGTTTTCATGCTAAGTACTGCTGATATGTACTTCTACTCTTGGCAGCAAGGAAAGTAATAAATACTATACATTTAATATATAAATGATTTAATATTCCCATTAAACTTGATAAAGACTAAAAATATTGTATCATAAATTCCGCAAATACTTGTTTGAAGTAAACATTATAACACGGCCTTATGTGTCGCAATCATTGGCGTGCCTTTCTGCATTGCTGGTGTTTTCTCCCTTTTAACCTTGAAAATCGTCATATCCGGTTTATTTCTTATTAAACTAGTCAAAATAAATACTTCTGTCAAAGCTTGTGAACCAGTACACATATTTTAATGCTTAACTCACACAATAACTATGCATTATAAGCTAATTGTTTGTATTAATTACAACTTATAAAGAATTCAAGGCTGTATAATATTTTTTTTATATAAGTTTAATTAGTTATAAATATTTTATAATTGTTATAACAACAGTTGGATTCCACCATACCTTTTTATTACATGTATGTGTGTACTTCTATCAAGGATTTTATCTAAATAATCATTAACTTTTTATTACCTATTTTAAATAAATTTTAATAATTATATTATTCAAATTGTATATTATATTTCTTGCACAATTATTTCTAATAAATAAGTTTAGTTTATTTATTATTAACTGTCGGTACTTTTAGATTTAGAGGATAAATAAGGCCATTTTTATCAATGCCTGTATTTTGACACGTAAAAACCAAAATTTTTAAAAATGTTTTATGTTGTTATATAATAATTATATGTATATATGGACGTAAATTTTTATTTACCTTAAATATCTACATATAAAAGTAATTTTTAAATTTAACTTCCCTTGTAGCTGTGGATATAATAAAAAAGTAAGAATTAGAATGGATAAAGAATAGATTTTTTAAATTTTATATAGTAATCAAATTTTTAATAAAATAATAAAATGTATAATTGCAATAAAGACTATTGTAAAATAGAATAATAATTAATAGAATAATTTATTCTATAGAGATTATTCAGTTTCATTTATTTTTACTATGAAACTGGTTATTGTGCTACCAGTGCACCGAGTGACGGAATGGGCAACTAAAAAAAAACAATAGGTACTTTCTCTGTACTTGTATAGAGATCAACCAAATTAACTGCCCTTAAAATTTTCGTTTATTATAAGTATAAATAAGAATTAAAAATATTAAAAATAAAAATTTCTCTATTACTTAAGAGAATTGTATTAAAAAAAATCTCCAAATCCAATCTGTTTTACAGTTCTTTAATTTCTGGGCCTAGTACAATTTTACTGCACTAATGTCAGTTTTAATTTGGAGACATAATAATGAATAGAACATCGTTTACTTTCTGTCATTAAGCCCTTATTGTTTATAAACCTTCAATCTATTGTTCGAGGAGACGATTATACCTTAACCACATAATTCTTTTTAACAAAGCCGACAAGTCAACCGTAACTTGCAACAGGAAATTGTTTAAGTATGGATATAACATGTACTTAAAGGTTTCTAAGAGTTAGACTTAAAGAATCTAATATTGTGATAAGATAATAATAATCTTTAAAACCTATTTTATTATTAGATCGTAAGATAAAGAGAATGAGTATATAATCAACATCGTGTAGATCACTATTTCTATATGTTAAAGCCCGCAGTGACAAGAGTATGTAGGATTTCCTTAAATTACTTGGTAGATACCTTCAATATACCGTTTTGGGTCTATACTGTATCAGTGTAATATACTTCTAAAATACATGAGAAGCATTGTTAAATTGAAGCTCCCTTTTCTTGTGGAGAATTAAAAAAATTTAATAATTATTTTTCACCATTGCAGGAACTTAAATATTTTTTTTGATATTCTAATGCTTTTGAAACACAGTTCAAACTACATAATTATTAAAACAATTATTTTCTAGTTTTAAAAATCCACTTTGAAATAACTTTTCACAGATATTTTTTACCTTCAGGCGGCACCAGGTGTTTTGCATTATTATTTTACTTAGATACTTAATTTAAGTCATTGACATTTATGGAGGAACCTAAAATGTAAAGTTAACTTTTAATAGTACTTTAATACAAGAATTGACGTTTGTTAATATAGTTTAATTGAATTTTGAAGAAAGTGTTTTATAAACGAATAAAATAACGTTCAATATGTATGTTTTGCTGCTAAGGTCTTCGTAAAGTATAAAAAATGCTGTTCACAATATAGGAAAACAAAATTTATTCAATCAACTTATAAAATAAATGCATTATTGCAATGTCATACATTTTAACGTACATTATAACAGCCTAATATTTTATCAATAACTTCATATAATATTTTAAAGTTGATAAATTTGATTTGAAACTAAAATTCTTGGTATGTCGTAAGGTATTTGGTGAAGTTCTCAACAAGTTCTTAACCCTACCGTTACCTAAGTCATCAACAACAATGTGCAGGACATCTAACTTCTAACAACTTACTTCAACTTATTGAAGTTGTTTGAACATTAAACTTGATAGTAAATGAATTTTGATAAAAGCTAATATGGATTTACGAGCACGATGACTTTTTCATTATTATTTTGAAATTTTGTGACGTTCCTTTTATTAACATTTATGTTAGAGGAATTATTTTAGTAATTAAGATAATCAATGCCCTTGAATGAGACAGTACGTATTTATAGTAATTAATTTCGGAAAAGAACATTATACAAATAATTATTTTATAAAGTAAAATTCTTTAAAGTTGCAAACCAAAAAAATTGCGTCTCAGTTACAGAATTAAATGCCCGTTTTTAATGTTTTTCCATATAATAAGTATATTATAAAAATATAGAAGGGATACCGCAACTATTTCTTTCGATTAGTTTAATATTAAACTATACATTATTAACTAAACAGAAAATACCAATTTACAGGCAAAGAAAGGATGAAACAAAGACTGAAAACTGAAAACAAAAACCCGTCTTATCGCCCAGACAAAAAGGTATCGTTGTACCTGTTAATAAAAGTATAACTTTGATAATAAATGAATGTTTTAAATGAAAGGGTTATTAAAATTTTATTTAGTTTTATTAACGTTATTCTCTTTAACAACCTTAAAATATGTGTCGATAGCCCATCATTAAATTGATTTTTATATGTATGTGTAAAGTAAACAATCATTCTTTACTTCATCAAAAACTATTTTTATTTTATTTAATGAAATTTATATATTAAAATTGCTTAACAAAAAAATTTGTTAAAGACATTTGCATCTCTTATCAAAACTCCCGTTTGTTACAACAAAGATAAAGTTTTAATTATACAAAGGCTTCATTTATTTATGTCTTTACGTTTTGACTTTGGTTTTAATTAAGTTTTACTATTTCATTCCCTGGCATCGCTTGTCATTGTTAGCTCCCGATTTCAATTGTTTTTAAGTAGAAGCTTACAAAATATCAAGACGTACTTACATTAAGCAATGCTTATAAAGTTAAAATATTCATAAATTACCTAAAATTACGCCTACTCCGAATGCTTAAAACAACAGATTATTATGAAAAATAGTAAAAAAGTATTTACTTATACTAAAAAACTTTTGCCCAAGTATCATTAGCAACAAACTGTTTATGTAAATGTTATCTCAAATCTTATGGTATAATGTAATAATGTAGATTTTTTATAGTGAGTTCCAGTCAATTTATTAAAGCTATCAAACGATCTAGACATGAAGCCTGTCTCGTGTGGTCCCATTTCAATGCAAATCGTGAAGAAATCAGTGTCGAATGCGTATTTAGATTTTTTTCAGCTTTTAACTTAATAAGATTTTCACTTTGTTTTTTTCATTACACTAATAAATTGGTCTTATTTTCGTTAAAAATATACTTAATCTTGTGTAGATTATTTTCGATTATTATATTAAAATTCAAATCTTAAAGTATTTTATTTAATAGGTTTTCTTGTCTCTTTAATTAACTATGTGGTATAAATGCAGAAATTGTTAAAATGAAGGCTATGAATTAGACGGAACAGGAATTTTATCATTTTTAAACCAAGACCTACTTGACCAAGAAAATTTTATTACCAACAAAAATCTATCCCACGAT